TTTCATCGTTGCTATACTACACCCTGACTGGCTCATCTCTTCTGTGTGACCCCTCTGTGAGGGGATGTCCAATTGTCCAAGTGAGTTTTTGTAGAGAGGAAGTTTCAGGTTTTGCACAGGCACCCTCAGGGCATTTCACACGCACACGTGAGGATCTGAGGTCAAAGAAACCACACCGCTAAGGAGCAGCTGGAAAACAGGGCAGTGGGCTCCCAATTCTATCTTTTTAGGGAGGTGTGGTCGATGGTACTGGTTGACCCTATTGGCTGAATTAAGCCCCCCTGGGCTAGATTGGGGTCTACCCAGGTAGATTGGCTTTCTGGCTCAAGGGCCTGAATTTGCCCATGCCCACTAGCCTTTATCGGCTTCCAACTTCCAGTAAGGGGGGAAGGAGGCTTTGGCATGTAGAGGGACAACCCCTAGTTTCTGTCTTTAGCTACTAAGAGTTTCACCTGGCGAAACTGTTCACCACAGATTAGGAAGTAGACACCAGTATGCAGTGCTTACCATGCTTACTGGGTCTTCTGGCCCAGTCAGGGACTGTACTGTGGAGTTGGGAGAGAGATGCCGGCCAGACCTGGTGGCAGACACGGATGTACTGACAACAGGTGAAATTGCTCATCTAGATTAGTAAGGACCGACCAGGAAGCCCGTACTGTAGCCTCCCTAGGGTCTGGGTGTTGGCTTCAACTCACAGGGTCCCAGCCAGGTGCTTCTGAAAGTGTCCTTCAGATGGGAATTTGGGGGGGGGGGGACATGAGTCCTCCTGGAAATTTTGTGCTAGCCATTTTTAGCCCAGGGAAACAGGGCTGGTCCATTGTTTTTCTAGCAAACAATTCTATTTGGCATCAATCGTCTATTTAGTCAAGGAAGACATCTGATAATGCTCTAGGGTAGATGCTGTCAGTACAGCAGTGAAGACTGCTACCCACCACCTACTCGGTGGTTCATTCAAGGGGTAGCTGCTGGGGAAATGGAGTAGGTGGCGGGTCTGGGGTACGGGTGGAGGTGGATGGAGGTGAGGGTTGCTCTCATTTTGGGGGTGAAAGAGGAGCCTCTTCCATGAGGTGTCAGTGGAGCCAGGAATCAAGACTTCATCTGAGATTGCAGTGAATACAATTTAGAGGTTGGTAAGATTGGTGGATGTCACCTTTATATGGTAAAGTGAACTCAACTGAACATTAATTCAATCAAAGAAAGGCGGGGGGGGGATTGTTTGGTTTTGGGCTAAAATATCTCAGGTAATTCATACCCATCGTTTGATTTGGTAAATCTACTTTTAGGAATTAGCTGAAGGACCAAATCAGAAATGTGGGCAAAAGTTTCTGCTCAAAGATGTTCGTCACAGCCTTATTTAAACAAACAAAAAAAATTGGAATCAACCTAAAATGCCTTCTCCCCTCCAGTCTCTAAAGACTACGGACTGCTCCCTTGGGATTCAAGAGCATTTCCCTGCATATCTCTTGGAAGTGGGGGTGAGGGGAGGGGGAAGCGGTCTGCAAGCAGGGATGGGAGGAACATTTTACACAAATGAATCATCTCTAGCGAACAACTTCCTCTGAGCATTTCATAGATCTTCCAGCCCTGGGCAAAAGCTTGGTTTTCTTGGATTGAGATGTTAAAAAGAATCCATTTGGAGAGAATCCCTCCTGGGTTGTTTTTGTTTACTCAGCATAGTTTTTTTCCCTCCTGGGGATTAACCATAGGAGTGTTACTGGTTTCACTGTGGGTTTTTTTGGTTGGGCTTCAGGATGGCATGATCAGCTCAATTTATTTAAAAGTTGGTTTGTGAACACTTGTAACTGTTTTAAGTAATAAAAACTATTGTGAACAATATTCCTTTCTGGGGTGCCTTCCTACCAAATTGCTCAAAGTTTGCCAACAAACATCTGTCACCTGTTTTCTGGTGAACTAGTTAACATTATCTATTCTGTCCCTGATGGCGTAAGGGGTTGTGTATTAGGCTGCTAACGAGAAGGCCAGTAGTTTGAAACCACCAGCTACTCTGCTGGAGAAAAGATGGCAGTTTCTACTCCTGCTATGAGTCAGCATCCCCTGGATGACAGTGGGCTTGAGGGTTTTTGAAGGTTTGTGGTTTGAATCAACCCAGTGGCTCTGTAGGAGAAAGAGCTGGCAATCTGCTTAGTGACGGGCTCTCACTGTCCTGGAGTCAATGCTGGCTCGTAGCGCCCCTATAGGCCAGGGTAGAACTTCCCCGTGGGTTTCCCAGAACATAACTCTTTAAAAGCCTAGAAAGCTTCTTTAAGCCTGAGGAGCGGGTTTTGAACAGCTGACCTTGCAGATAGTAGCCTAATGCTTAACCCACTCCAGCCTAGAGAATCCTATGGGGCAATTTTACTTGCTGAATCAAAACTGACATCTAACTGCAGCAGCCATTTAAAGAGAATAATTTCATGAAGCTTGTTCTTCCATAATTCAATTTGTCACCAGCTCAGCTTATCTTTCCCGACAATTCGAGACACCATCTGATAGATCTCCTTGTTCTTCTGTTTCATTGAAATATCACCTATGGCTCCATGGAGACAAATGGGATGGCCCATCTTCCTGTGAATTCCAAATTCGCAAGCCTGAGCAGCTCACACGGTTGGTGGTGGGCAAGGAAAGCTCTCCTGAGCCTCCAGCGACTTCACAGACACTCCTTAGTTTCAAGGGCCACCTTACTCTGGCTCCATCTGTTGGGCACCCAGCTTTGGTGGCCTGAGGGGCAGAAGTGGGAAGGCTTTAGAGAAAGTTTCATCCCCATATGATCCCAGTCTCTTTTCGTCAAACACGAATTTCTGGCTGGGCAAGTTTTCTTGGCTGTGGTCACTGTGTTCCTTCATTAGAACGAATTTTGTGAGCAGTCCATGATCCCTTCAGCCCTCCCTCAGTGGGACCCTCCCATCAGCCATGCTGGACACCCATTACCCACGCAGGGACGGCTTTGTTCCATGTCTCCTTTGTACTAAACCCAACAATAAAGCTCTCTTGGTCCTCAAACATCTTGATGATAATTTGGGCTAAAAGAACTAGAGGGCTAAAACCTAATTTAATAGACAAAGGGAGCACCAGTGACCTCAGGTTACAATACAAAAGATTGGTGGAACCTGGGGATTATTTTTAATCTAGCCCCTGACAACTCTGAGCAATAAGTTCTGCACCCTGCCGTTTTTCCAGAAAGGAGCTAGCTGCTTATGAAAAAAAATCAAACCCCATTAAACCAAGACACACATGGATAATAGAGAGTTACTTTTATAGGAGACTTAACAAAAATTAACAAAACACACGCAAAAAACAACCCATACACTTGAGTCTGTGCCTATAGGACTGTGCATGAACAACGGTGGCTTTATACAATTCTCTAATAATTTAATAACCTTTTATGCTAAACATTTTTAGACCCAACTAGCATGTTCTGCTTAAATATGAATCTAAAAATTGAACAACTTGAAATCTGAAATTCACACCTGTAGCTTTTAATGGATTATTTCTGTTCATGTGGGAAAGATAGGTTTGTGTGTGTGTGTGTGGTGGTGGTGGTGGGGGGCACTATAGTCCAAGTCTTGTAACCATGTTTCTGTGAGAGTTCATCAAATGGTGTAACATGGAGAAAAAAATTGTTTGTATTATAAAAAATAATTTCTCTTGGACCATGACAACTTTGAGCAAAAATGATTCACAAAATGTCATTTTAATCATCTTTACAAAGCACAATACTTAAGACTTTTCTAAATACAACTTTAGAAAATGAAGCAAAAAAAAAATCTCCAAGAGATGCCTGGTAGAGTCCATGCTGAATGCTAAAGAATGGTTTTGAGTGGTACTTCCCCAGCCTTTCCATATTCCCCACGGGTCCCTTTTGAAAAGCAAAGCATGAAGATGGTAGCTGTCTGGGGGCTCATCCACTTCCATGATGCAGCATCCTCTTGCTGGCCAGCCTGGGAGACCATAATGAAGCTGCTCACACCACCATCTCCTAGAATGGCTCCTCCCCCTCCACGTACACAGGAAGTCAATGGCCACCATATGGGATGATGCCAGCCCTCTAAATCGCACTTTGCTATTGCCCCAGGAGGGTCCTCCAACCCCTCAATCCATTATAACAACACCCCTCCTCTGTATACACATTATACAAAACTAGACCATTAGACTTTTATAACCAATAAGCAAAAAATCCAAATGTCAAAGATTCTAATCCTTACTTCTCTTGTAGATGGTGGGAAATCTCAGAAGATATCCAGTTGAATGTGGAAATGCTTTGCTTCAAAGAGTCAAGGCCAAGGGAATGTTAAGAGTGCACCCTGGAAACTTGGTGTACTTGGCTCCAGAGAGGCCCAGAGATCAAGGCTGCTGAGAAGGCAGTCTAGCCAAGTTGGGGAGCTCAGGGGATGAGGGTACTTTCTATACACTTTCCTTCCCAAATTGACCTGGCCCAGGAAGACCAGGGTTGGCCTGGGAGGGCTCTGCACACCCTCAACGGGCAGCTGTGGTAGGCCAGAGGGATTGAGGAAGAGAAAGGACGAGACTTTGATTTGTACTACTCTCAGTAACATGGGGTGACACCCCTCATCATTCCTTCTGTTTCCAATTCCCGTTCTTTGCCATTGTACAAATCTATTGATGTTGAGTAGTTACACTGTAAAATTCAGGAAACGGACAAAACAGCTTTTTTAGCAACACAGAAAACACTTTTGCGCCCACTCCCCCATCTTGCCAAACAGTATGCCTTACTGTTGGCTGAAGATGAGCAAACAATGACATCGTCTCAAGGCTGAACTTTTCATCCAGCTAACACTGGGGTCCTTGGGAAGGAGGAAGCAAGTCCATAAAGGCAAGAGTGTGCCACCAAGTGGAAACACGTCATCATGACCCTCCCCCCAATTCTCTGTGACCTGTGGAAGGGGTGACAAGAGCAAGGTAAAGGACATTCTGTGGTTACAGTTGACACAAGGACCGACAGGTAACCCAATGCAGGAAGTAACACAACTTTCCCCCCTGTGTTCATTTGCATTTTACTTTATTTATTTTTGCTTTCATAATGCATATTCTGTTCACACAAAAGGTGCAAAGGGCAGGAAGCAGGGGTTGAACTTGGCGGGTGACAAATCAAGCAGGGGGCACATTTCTAGTTTCATGAAAAAAACCACGGAGAACGTAAGAGTCATAGCTGGTCCCACACAGCGCTCCCAACTTCACAGCGACCTCCTCTGCAGACTGATTGGGGAGGGATGCTTTGAGGACAGTGGCCTCTAGTGGGCTTTAGTAAGTAGCTTAAAACAAAAAAGGCTTTTTCTTTTTTCTTTTGTTTTGTTTTTCTTTCTCTTTTTGGATCGCGGTAGCTGCATCACAAAAGCTCCAGTCCAGAGGGTGGTAAAAAGAAGGCACAGATCATTGCAAATACCAGGTTGTCTCCTTCTCGTTCCGTACATGAACCGTCGGTGGAGAAGCTGAGATTTATCTGAGGGTGGGGGGCTTGGTTGGTAGCAGGGACAGGATGGGGATGGGTGGACCTAAACTTGCATATGAAAAAGAATCCTCAGGGGGAACCCAAAGCGCGAGGCAGCTTGAGGCCTGAAGTAAAGGACAGGGACACTAAACCCTGGACTTCCGTGTAGTACAAATGCTGGCAGGTGGGGAGATGGGCGTCTGTGACAAAACACGGGTACAAAAAAATCAAAACCTTATAAAGCTTGTAAACGAAGAATCGGAAATTACATTTTATTCATGGAAAATATCATCAAAATAGTACCACTATGGACTAAACTGCCTGAGTTTTCGTGTCGCGTGAGATCTCAAAGTAGAAAAGACTGTAGCACAATTTGCTCTGCGGAAGTGGAAGTGCCAGACCCGGGGGATGGGGTGGGGTGGGGGGGACATGGCCGGTGGGGGCAGGCAGTGGGGGGCAGCTTCTCCTCTGCTCTCGGATGGAATCGGTGTTGTGCTATCAAGACTTGTGTGCTAATCTGTCAAACAGGGATGTGTGTGGAGGCAAACCTTTCATCTTTTGGCACAAGGTTATTTTGGCTGGGGCGGAAAATTGGAGGCTCCGACTCAGGATGAATAATGCGACGTTTCACTGATCAAGTATTCATTTCGACTGAAGAGCTTTCTTTATGTCGTTCACTTCCATCTGTAGAGGAAAACAGAACCACACACAGTCATCGGGTGCTGGCAGGGTTTCCACACCCTGCAAGTGTATCGAACTGGCTGATTAAAAGAATCAGCCTGACACTTTGCGGGTGAAGAGACTTCTGGAAGCTGCAGCCACCCAAGCGAGAGAGGACCTCTGCGCCAGGAGCCGGCGGCTGTTTGTCCTCTCCGGCGACCAAGATCCCACATTTGTCAAAAGCAGCAGAGCCGCTTTCCCTGGCCAGAGACAGTGCCGGCCTATCTGCTGAGGTGTCTTCCAGCACTCCCAAAGTGTCATCAAGCAGGCTCCACCATTTCTTTACACAGCTTGGGACCCACTCACCCCTGAGAGTACCTGTGCATGGAAGCTGAATTACATTTCTGCCATGGGCACGCAGAGTGGCATCAGAGTGCAGAAAGGCAGAACTCTGACAACTTGGCAGGACTGGCGTGGTCAGCAGGGAGAACAAGAGAGCCAGAAAGCAAGTGTGGACAGCTGTGGTCCCTAGAGTCCCGGTGATCATGTCAGAAACCAGCTGGCAACAGGGCCTCTCCAGTACCACGCCCAGCAGTTACTATAAAGACGTCTCCTGGAAACTGGTGGAACTTTCCACAGAGCAGATATTGCAGATAAACCCCAATGAGAAACTCAGCGGGGGGTGGGGGGGCAGGTTTACTCATGCTTCTCTTGCTCAAGACTTCCTGGACCCCAGGAGGGACGTGCTGTGAAGCTGCCACAATCCTAAGAAAACCATCCCTGAGAGTTTGTTTAAACCTATAGGGAGGTAACCACCATTTCTTTTCAAATTCGGGCCTTCGTGCTGCTCCCACCTCCAAATGAGCCTCTAGACCTGAAGGGTAGCAGGCCTCTGAGGGACCCACCTGCAACCGAAGCCGGATTTTCTTCTCTTCATCCAACTCCGACAATAACTGCTTAATCTCTCGTCTGGAAAGCAAAGGGCAATAAAATTAAAGCCAAGCCCAGACTTACCCCGAGAGAGATAAGCACCTTTATATTATCACTTTGGAGCCCTGGTGGCATAGTGGCTATGAGTTGGGCTGCTGCCAGGTCAGCAGTTCGAAACTACCAGCTGCTCCTCAGGAGAAAGACGAGGCTTCCTACTCTTGTCAAGAGTTCCAGTCTCTCCAACCCAGTGCTCCAAGATGTGAATCCAACATACTGGCATGGAGTAGGGAACCAGTGGAGAGGTCTGAGGGGCCGGCCCCAATCCCAACTAGGTGGACAGCTGCCCCTCCCCCCAGGCTAACTTATTTCAGAGGACAGCACTGAAGCTGCAGCTCAGGGAGAGGGACATGTCTGATCAGAGCACACAGGAGCAAATGAAGGGGAAGGAAGAGAGAGTGGAGCACATCCTGGCCCATCAAGCCTTGAGGACAATATTCCCGCTCAGAGCAGCCAATCCATAGAGAAGACAATATGGCCAGCCCCACTATGAGACACGACATCCTTCACTGACCCATAGCCCTACAGGTTACAACACTGGAGAAACAGTGTGGGAATTGTGCCCATCTGATCCTACCACACCAAGGCAAAACACTAAGGGTGTGCAACAGAACAGCAAGGGGGAACAGTGCAACAAAGTTCCCAGGGAATACCAAACATAGACTTTTGGGCCAGGGCTTGGGACCCCATCAGACTTGACCAGAAAACATTGTTCAACAAACAGTCCTTGAACTAACTACAAGCTTTTCTTTTTTGGTTGTTGTTGTGTTGTATTTTCTTGGTTT